GGCCCCGCGGGCGGCGGCCGAACTCCGCGGCGGCCCCGAGGCGCCGGCTGCGCCCTTGCCGCTGCCTCGCCACTGCTTTTCGGCTCCGACATGGAAGATGGATCTTCTAACAGTACGAGCTGCTTCCGAAGGCTGACCGAGTGTTTCCTGAGCCCCAGTAAGTGGCCTGGCCCCGCGTCGCCGTGTGTGTGTGGGCGGCCGGGGATCTCGGGTCTCAGATCGCTGGGAGGGAAGGTAGCTACGGAGGTGGGCGGTGGTCACGGTGTGTAGGTCGGGGCGGTCAGCGCTCGGCCAGCTTCCCTGGAAGGGCAGGAAGCTGGTGGCACCTCGATGGCGCGGGAGCGTCCGTTAGCACAGGAACGCCGGGCTTTCCCAGGTTCTGCGCGCGTGGAGGAAGGATGTTTGGGGGTCGGTGGTCGCAGAGCGTGTAAACGGGACCTTTTACTGTCCTGACCTTTGGGCTGTTCCTGTGTACAAGGGCCAGGCATGTATTTATACTTGCAACTTTGTTACCACTTAGGGCAGATTCCTGGTTCTTTCCAGCCTTTGACCACTTGGCTGGAGTAAACATGCCCCCCTCCCCCGGCCCCCGTGACCCTGCTGCTTGGTTCCTGCGGCCGGAACAAGGGTAGGCCGGACCCCAGACCGGGCACGTCCAAATGTGGAGCCAGATTTGTCGGCACCCCTTCCTCCGCATTGACCATGTTGTAGAGCTTGGAGTCGCGGGGTGGAAATGTCTGCACCTCGGCGGAGAGGACGTGCCCCCACCTAGCGCTCACCTAATAAGGACTTCGGGGGTTAGCATGTTCGAGTTGGTAAAGAAAGGGTGTTAGTGTGCAAGAAAAAGGTGAGGCGGGTTCGGACTCGCGGGACGACCGTTGACACCCTGACTTGTCGCCCGTGGGCGTGGGGCTGAGAGCTCTCGGTGTAGGGGCGGCAGAGGGCATGCCACGGGGAGGGGGACCAGGTCCAGCGGAAAGTCAGACAGAGCTTCGCTAGAATCAGGAGATAAGCGGGAGACAGAGGAAAGAGGCGCCGGTTGCACAGAGTAGGGAGTCGCCGCTGCGGTGGATGGCGGGCAGACAAGCCCAAGGAGCAAGGAGGACCAGGGCGGCAGGGGGCGAGGCGGGGCGGTGGATCGCGTCACGGTCGAGGAGGCTGTGCCTGTGGGGCACCGGACTACTCCGGCGCCAGCTCGGGCGGGCGCGGCTGCCAGTGGCCCAGAGCGCTGCTTCTGCGCCGCCGTCCACCGCGTGCGCACCCAAGCCTTTGTTTGCTCCTCATTCAACAGATCGCGTTTCCACGGCCCTTTTCTTCCAGGGAAATCTCCTTCAGGTTGCTGTTTAGGCTTTCCACTTCCAATGCAGTTCACTCTTAGCCTTGGCCTAGCTGCTGCTCTTAAGGGGGCAAGCCCCTCTTTGAGGCCTGAGGTCTTCTGGGTGCTTCCAGTGTCCACTACCATTCTCCTCTGGGTTGAAGCCGCGGGGCCTGCGAGTGTGTTCTTACAGGAAGCAAAGCGCTGTCTTACAATCCTGCTTCCTGGACAAGGGCTGTGGTGGCAGATTGGCCCAGCATCCTCTTCTCACCCCTGTGTGGCTCCAGGAGCCTGTGGACTTCTGCTTGGTATCTGCCCTGTGACTTGATTGGCCTTGGAGGCGTGGGTCTTTGTGCTTCAGCTGATCTCTTGGGCTTCTGGCCTCTGTCAGGTACTTCTCTCCTCTCTGCTGTGGGTGTCCCTGGAATTCATCACCCAAGGATAGTGCACTGCAAAGGGCTGTGAATCTGGTACCAGCGAGGTGAGCTGTGGCCTTCATTACTGCCATTAGGTGTGGCCAGCAGAGGCATTTTTACCTACTTTAGGACCAGAACTGGAGCCCTACCTAAGACTTAGGATAGGTAAGACTGAGGTTGTGTGGGGTACCCTTCCTGGTGCACTTCTAAATTACTTCTATACAAAATAAATGTCTCCTGCCTTTCTTGGCAACTCATGGAGCAGGTCCAGGGTGGAGTGAGGTGGGAGAGGTGCGAGGTGGTGGTGAGAGCTGTTCCTTGAGTGAGACACATCTAGGGAGAAGGTGATGGTGTAGAGGTGCTTTTGACCTGGGAGAAGTTGAAGGCCTGTGGCATGAGTGGTCCTGCCTCTTTGTCCCTCACTCTTGACCCTAGGAGTACCCTGGAGTTTGGATAGAAACCAGAGACATCAGAAGCCTCGGTTGGGTATCTACTACCATAGTAAGTACTGAGGTACTGTAAACATAGACCCTCCTCACCCACGGATGAGAAGAGGTTGCTTCTAAGGGTAATACTGTTCTCTGCTGTGACCTCGGGGTCCACACTGGAATCTGTCTGTTGGTACATACAAAGCCACTTCCATCTCAGTTGCCATGATACCTGAAGTTTGGCTGACTTTTTGATATTTTTATTAAAAATCAGCCTTTTTGAAAGCAAATTCTAGATTCTGTGAGAATATAAAATTTCCCAAATGCACACAGATGTATATAAGTGTTGAATATGTCTTCCCTATTTATCTTTTAGTTTGATTTCTTTATCTGACAAACAAGTCATCATATACAGGGTGCTGTGCAAAATTACAGTTTGTACAAATGTCTGTTACCTTTTTTTGGTTATCAAAACCCAAACCATATGTAGAAGGTATGGTACTGTAGTTTCATGCCTGTTTTTATAACTTTGCATTTGCTTCACACTGATCCACTGTTATTCATGCACTAAATACTTAACAGAAGTCACTGTCATTTGCCAAGTTCTGGTCCTGTCCTAGTTAGGTTTTAGAGTCTCAAGCTAAACAGAAGAAGAACCTATCCTGAGTTTGTCAACTGGTAGCTAAGAAGGAACTGCTCCAATGTGGGTATGGTGTTTAATGGTGTTTATGCCCAGAGCTACAAGTCGCTGCTGAGCACTTGGTGTATTCACATTGTCTTTAATCAGACAATTCCTGACTTCACTTCCTGACATCTGCTGACCTCTGGACTCAATATTGGTCACCCAGCTTTATACAGCATTCTTAGGAGTGGTGCTGATCAGAATAGGAATGATCAGTTGTCCCAGAGCAGTCCAGTGAATCTACTGATGCAGAGCCAAGAAATTGTGCTGCCCTAGGTCAGTATGGACTGCACTTAGCCTTGTGGAACAGATAACACAGGGTGCTGTGTTAGGTAGTCAGAATTGTTAATCCATTTTGACCAGGCTGGAGGGATACAGCGAAGGGAAGTACACCTGTGGAAAAGACTCTTGAGGATGAGTTCAGAAAGCAACCCTAACGATTGTTAGAAGCACAAGTTACCCCATCTCGCTTTCTGTAATTTTTATGTTTTACCAGTAAACTGCATTAAATAACACACAGACCTCTAGAAAAAGGAAAATAGATTGGTCAAGGAGTACACAAAGACAGTAAGGAAATAAGATGGGAAAGATTTATAAGTGGAAAGTGAAGATGTCTTCAAGCACAATTTACGGCGTATTTTTCAGATATTTAAAACAGAAGATGCATGTTTGCAGGCATTGTGGCTTTTAAGCATGTTCACACCCATCACCAGGCACTCTCACTCTTGTTTCTTGAGATGTGAGAACTGTGTGGCCAACACTGGAGAAGGCTAAGATAATTATTATCCCTCTCAAGAGCAAATGTGTTTAATACTTAGCAGCTCTACTAGACTTCACATTTTGTGTATTTTTATGGGCTCCATGAAGCTGAGGATACAGAGGAAAATAAGACCCCCCACCACAGTACTAGATGTGACTCTGTGTTGGTGGACAGCCAACTGAGGTGAGGACCTACACAGTGTAAAGTGTTTGTGGGAAACCAAGATGGTAACTCTTCACTCAGTGGGCCTGACCTGCCAGTAGGGATGCCCTAGCAGAGGACCAACAAAGCAAGACTGAATGCCTGTTAGGCTGGGTGTGGACAGTGTCATCAAGTATATCTAGGAGGGGTGAGCTGTCTTTTGGCTGGCTAATCAGTCCAAGGGACAGAACTATATCAACTGGGTGGGATTATATAGGTTATTAATATGTATAAATATTCACTTTCCACTTATAAACCTTTCCCATCTTATTTCCTTAATGTCTTTGTGTACTCCTTGATCAGTCTATTTTCCTTTTTCTAGAGGTCTGTGTGTTATTTAGTGCAGTTTACTGGTAAAACATAAACATTACAAAGAGCGAGATGGGGGAATTTGTGCTTCTAACAATTGTTAGGGTTGCTTTCTGAACTCATCCTCAAGAATCTTTTCCACAGGTGTGCCTCATGTACTTCCCTTGGCTGTATCCCTCCAGCCTGGTCAAAATGGATTAACAATTCTGACTACCAAGGGATTCCCTTAGCTGTATCCCTCCATGAAATTTTACATATATTTTTTTACTTACATTTTGCAAAAGAAAACTGTATAGAGATAGTTCCTAGGAGTTTCTATGAGAAGCAGTGGAATGATTAGGGAATTAAGTCTTTGGCTATCTCAAACTGCTATTGGCCTTAAGTTTTGCATTAATCTCTTCCCTGTCCCACTAGGGAAATGATGCATTGCCGTGGATAGTTTGTCATGGAAGCAAATACTGTGTTTCATGTAAAGCAGGCTAGACATAGTGGTGAATATTTCAGCAGTTAATGCATTGTGAATTCTTGTTTGTATAAAAACAGCCTATGAAATCTGAGGGGAGAAAAAATAATTTTCATGTAAAAGGAGTTTTTCCCTTAAAAGGAAAACTTAGTTGTAGTTCAGAACATTTTAATTTCCTTTTAAAATGTAAATGAAACTCCTGCAGTTGATGTTTTCTCCAAGTCTGTCTAAAGGAAAACTCTCAGGGACAGAAGAGCTCAGGATCTTACAAAGAGGGCATCATCTGCCTGGCATTCCTCTTTACTTGTAGCAACTGCCGCTTCTGGACTTGGCCTGCTCATTTGCTAGCTTACCTGTCTATTTCTCATCTTTCTGTAGAAGGCAGGGCAGTAAGAGCCCAGGACCAAAGCTGTTTTACCTGTGTCTCTGGTATTAGGATAGTGCTGACATACATATAGAAGGTACTTACATGTTGGTGCTGGAAAGTTAAAGATGAAAACTGAGGATTTTTTTTTTTTTTTTTTTTTTTTTCTCCCAATGCTTTCAGGGCAGGTTTGGCTGGCTTGAGTTGTGGTGATTGAAC